CTTTTGAGGTGTTTGAGGTGTTTCCCGGGCCGTCCCATGGCTGTTGCACGATATTGGCATCCAGTGGCCTATTTTCAAACTTAAGTGTGAAAAAGTGCATTTTTGGACTTAGTTTTCAAACAGGGACTCCCGTGCTAGTTCTGTAAGTTTCCACAACTCACATTAGTCCCTCCTGAGGTGTTTGAGGTGTTCCTCGGGCCGTCCCATGGCTGTTGCACGATATTGGCATCCAGTGGCCTATTTTCAAACTTAAGTGTGAAAAAGTGCATTTTTGGACTTAGTTTTCAAACCGGAAGTCCCGTGCTAGTTCCATATATTTCCATAACTCACATTGGTCCCTCCCGAGGTGTTTGAGGTGTTCCCCGGGCCGTCTCGTGGCTATTGCACGATTTTGGCCACCGATGGCTATTTTCAAGCTTAAGTGTGAAAAAATATATTTTTGGACTTAGTTTTCAAACCGGGAGTCCTGTGCTAGTTCCGTAAGTTTCCACAACTTACATTGGTCCCTCCCGACGTGTTTGAGGTGTTTCTTGGGCCGTCCCATGGCTGTTGCACGATTTTGGCCTCCAGTGGCCTATTTTTGAAGCTTAAGTGTGAAAAAGTACATTTTTGGACTTAGTTTTCGAACCGGGAGTCCTATGCTAGTTCTGTAAGTTTTCACAACTTACTTTGGTCCCTCCCGAAGTGTTTGAGGTGTTACCCGGGCCGTCTCGTGGCTGTTACACGATTTTGGCCTCAGATGGCCTATTTTTGAAGCTTAAGTGTGAAAAAGTGCATTTTTGGACTTAGTTTTCAAACCTGGAGTCCAGTGCTAGTTCCAAAAGTTTCCACAACTTACATTGGTCCCTCCCGAGGTGTTTGAGGTGTTACCCAGGCCGTCTCATGGCTTTTGCACGATTTTGACCTCCGATGGCCTATTTTCAACCTTAAGTGTGAAGAAAATACATTTTTGGACTTAGTTTTCTAACCGGGAGTCCCGTGCTAGTTCTGTAAGTTTCCACAACTCACATAGGTCCCTCCTGAGGTGTTTGAGGTGTTACCCGGGCCGTTTCGTGGTTGTTGCACGATTTTGGCCTCCGATGGCCTATTTTCAAGCTTAAATGTGAAAAAGTACATTTTCGGACTTAGTTTTCAAACCGAGAGTCCTGTGCTAGTTTCATAAGTTTCCACAGCTCACATTGGTCCCTCTCGAGGTGTTTGAGGTGTTACCCGAGCCGTCTCATGGCTGTTGCACAATTTTGGCCCCCGAAGGCCTATTTTCAAGCTTAAGTATGAAAAAATGCATTTTTTGACTTAATTTTCAAACCGGGAGTCCTGTGCTAGT